CAAATAATATCCCTAAATGTTATACATGCCATATAAAGTTACAGTCACAGAATATTCTCACAATCGTAAAATGTAGGAAAGCACATATGAATGAATTACAACAAGCTTCATGTATGTTATCCCCGGTTCACTGTGTTGTGTTCACTTGAAAAAATAACATTGAGTGACTGGTGTTGGTGGCACACCGCATCTGGCAGGTTGTATAAATAATAGACTAGAATGACTAATGCTGCACTGTTAAAATGAGTCATAGAGTTTGGTTTGGTTTTTGGTAAGGGACTCTTTTAGTGCATCTTTTTCTTGTTCTACATCTTCTTCCTCCTGCTGCTGCTGCTGCTGCTGCTGCTGCTGCTGCTGCTTCTTCTTCTTCTTCTTCTTCTTCTTCTTCTTCTTCTTCTTCTTTTTCTTCTTCTTCTTCTTCTTCTTCTTCTTCTTCTTCTTCTTCTTCTTCTTCTTCTTCTTCTTTGTCTTCTTCTTCTTCTTCTTCTTCTTTTTCTGCTCCTTCTTCTTCTTCTTCTTCTTCTTTTTTAGCTTCTGCTGTTGCCACTGCTACTGATGCAGCCTCCTTCTTCTCCTCCCCAAGATACATGACAATTCTTTCCTGTAACCTTACACTACAGTCCGCTGTTTGAGGCACACACTAGCCACCCTCCCTTTTCTAACGGGTCAGTGCAACTGTTCACTGAGTCGGAACGAGCCACCATGTCCTAGAGGTAATCTATACATTTCAAATTTGAAGTGTGCAACATGTCATATTTCTACTCCCATTTTAAGCTGATAGTAACAAAACCAGGGCATTACTGTCTCATCGCTTCTCGTATATACACGTCTAATGTTACGTCACCTAAGCAATTATTTATGTAAGAATAATTAATAGACATCACCGGGCAACATGCGTTTGTGTAGGTAAATAGAAAATAAAAACGCTCCTAATCCGCAGTAATGCAAAACATAGCTAGTATAAAAAAAAATATGGATTGGCCTCAATGCACATAAATGAATAAATATTGCACATAGAAAATAGACAGTCCTTGACCTGGGAGGAGGTATACCTGCGGTAAACATTTGTTGTATTGATTTTGTGGTGTCATGATAAATTAGGGAAGTGTTAAAATAGCGTAGATGAATCTGTTTGTACAGACAGAATAGAGTTGTTACACCCCTAGTGTTGTCTGGGATGAACTGAGCAACACGTGTTTTTAAGATTCTTCTTCTTCTTCTTCTTCTTCTTCTTCTTCTTCTTCTTCTTCTTCTTCTTCTTCTTCTTCTTCTTCTTCTTCTTCTTCTTCTTCTTCTTCTTCTTCTTCTTCTTCTTCTTCTTCTTCTTCTTCTTCTTCTTCTTCTTCTTCTTCTTCTTCTTCTTCTTCTTCTTCTTCTTCTTCTTCTTCTTCTTCTTCTTCCTTCTTCTTCCTTCTTCTTGTTCTTCTAGTTGTTGTTGTTGTTGTTGTTGTTGTTGTTGTTGTTGTTGTTGTTGTTCTTCTTCTTCTTTTTCTTCTTCTTCTTCTTCTTCTTCTTTTTCTTCTTCCTCTTCTTCTTTTTCTTCTTCTGCTCTTCCTCCTTCTCGTCCTCATCGATGCAGCTGCACTTAGGACAAGTACTTGAGTTCTCCTTCTTTCCGAGCAGAAGAGTTACAATTTTACGGATTATCGTAATTGCAGAATAAACAAGTCCATAAGCGCTCAGATCCCATCTTCAGTATATCCCCTAGCGTGTGGCGACTGATAACACCAGTTCTGTGTTGGTTTACTATTCTTCTTCGGCTACCTGTATAGTGGTCATGCCTAGCAACACGTTTTCTGACCGGAAGTTCTTGTAATCTTGTCCAGACTGCCGATTCACCATCGTCTCTTGAATCGTCTACCGGTCCTCACTCCTTAAGAGCATTTAGAACATCCGCTTGATACACTGTTCAGTCCTGTGCCTACAGTCGCCCTGTCGGCAAGCCAATCCGCTCGTTCATTTCCTCTTACCCCACATTACGTAGAGAAGTCATTTTGTTTAGAATGCACGTGTCACCGTAGTTGTGTAGTTTAAATGTCAACCAAGAGACCAGGTGTTTTTATGATTTGCAATCAACAATGGGCGTAACTGCAGTCAGGGCAAGTCGATAGGTGTGCAGTCTCTCTGAACGAAAATCGAAGGTTGTGGACTCTGAGTGTTATGTTTACGAATTGTTTAGCTACGCTGGGAAATCCTTCTAGTGTAAATTCATTGCGACCAATTTCCTACTTGATTGTCAACTCCAACAGATAAAACTTAGATGATTCCCTAAGAGATGTGTGAATATGTGTGATTTTTTTCTTCGCACTTTATTCTTCAAAAGATTTAAAATAATAACTGTCTATAATCGAAGTTGTTAAAATTTTAACTGTCTATAACTGAAGTAGTTAAAATAATAACTGTATAAAACTAAAGAAGTTAAAATAATAACTGTCTATAACTGAAGTAGTTAAAAAACTGTCTATAACTGAAGAAGTTTAAATTATATCTGTCTATAAATGCAGTAGTTAAAATGTTAACTGTCTAGAAATGAAGTAGATAAAATAATAACTGTCTATAACTGTAGTAGTTAAAAAAATAACTATCTATATCTGAAGTAGTTAAAACATTAAAATGAGTATAAGTTAATTAGTTAAAATAATAACTGTCCATAAATGAAGTAAAAGTAATACCTGTCTATAGTGGAAGCAGCTAAAATAGTAACTCTGTATAACTGCAGGGGTTAAAATAAAAGCTGTCTATGAGTTGTTAAAATAACAACTGTCTGTGTAGCTGAATGATTTGAAGTAATAACTTTCCTTAACCGACGAATGTAACGGCGTGAGAAGAGACAGACAACTAACCGACAGACTTGTGTATGAGTTAATATTGAAATGAAGATATGTAATGTGTGATACAACCGTCTACTGCATATAATAAAGAAATCATAGGGGTAAATAAAATGACAAGTGCGAATAGATTAACAAATGTGCTTAAAAATCAAATGCAACTGCAAGAATAAAGTGAAAATTTATAGTAAAATGCAAAGAAGGTCTTGATTTAGGAAAAACATAAACATGAGTAGCTAAAAAAACGAAACAAAAGAAAATAACATGTTTTTAATGTGATATACAGGTAGTGACGGATCCGTACTGGGGACAAAATAGAACACTACGTGATGTTCTGTGGAAAGTGATAGTGTGATTCGTTAAACATTTCTTCCTGTAAACTTACCACTTTTAGGACGGAAGGAGAATGGGGCGATTTGGGGGAGGGGGGGGGACGGAAAGGGGGGGGGGTGTTGTAAGCCTGATGCTTCAAGGCCGCATATCTAGTGCAGTAGCCACGACTGTAAATGTCTGGAGAGTTTGTAAATTTTCTCCCCCTATTTAAAAAGAAAATTATCCACATCGTATCGGGAATTGGACACGCCATACTAGGCCAGCCAGTCTTCGTGATTCGAGAGGTCATGTATTCAAAAACAGATCATTAATTCTTTGAGTTCCCAAAGAACGCATGAGATGTGAATCACTCTATATGCCAAAGCCCTTCCTGAGTTAAACGTGCTCTATTACTTTTTGTATTTGGTCAGAAGACACTTAAGAAATCTGGCTTGTCCAATGATCACTACTGCTCTTATATTACCGCTTTGAAAGTAATGCACTGATGAATCTTAATCACGGGTTTTTCTTTACTGGCATCTGCTACTTAACATTCTTATTATATTTATTACAGTGGCTTCCTCACCCCTACCCCCTTTTCCGGATTCGCTGCATGACACACTGACAATAAGTGACTCAAAGAGCATCTTTTTCAAATGCGAATCTAACTAGCGCAAATTCAATGAATATTTAGTCTTCGGAGGTCACGAGTGAGGAGCATTGTCTAGATGTTTTTCTCCGGGTAATGCCGGTGTGCTGGTAAATGAACAGGCGGGCATAATGGCTGGCTCTGCAAAACTTGATGCATGATAAGGCAGACATGATTAAGGCCTCGTGGGGACGCGTGTACAATTCAGAGGAGCAAATTGATCACCACAGTCTGGTGAGAGTGAGGCAGCGGGGACTGGCGAGAGGGATCTGACCCATATTCGACCCTCAGAGGAAAGGCAAGACGGACATAATATCAGACTGCTACTGGTATTACTGGTATTGGAACTCTGCGCTGGCTGCTGAAGATAGGAATGAGGCACCTATGGAAAGCCCTGAGTGCTGTGATGTCGGTTCTTGAATGAACTCAATTCTTAGTTAATTCTGGTTCCAACACAACAGCAGACAGGTGGTCTCGTAACAACTCCGTTCCTGTGCCAGCTGGGAATTATACAAAATGCCCTCCAGGGTCCCAATTGAAAACTTGTTAAAGACTTGTCAGTCCCAACAAACTCTTGAAGCTTGCACACGTAGAATAAAATGCACCAGGCAGCTGCCAGAAGTACCAACACTGACAATCCCAGGTCATAACTACAGCAAACCTTTGGCGCAAACGGTCACTCCTCGCGAACGCATCTGTTAAAAGTATACAACCAGTCTGATTACAATCTGCCACCCGCCATTTAATGCAGTCACAACACTCCGTGGGCACAGCAGGGGGAAAAGATAAACATTGCACATGAAGTCCACAGGTCACATTGTCGCACCATGTGCTCAAATCAGTAGGTGGGCGACGGAAACTTTAGACTTGCAGTGCAAAAATGGGGAATATGCATCAGCAAAACCTAGCTGGAAACAAATAACTTTTCAGAACGTCAGCGGTAAGCCAGCTATCGGCTATTTTGTATTCAATGTATAAATCAGTTTTACCTGGACACCTAAAGGATAGGAACTAACTTCCTTTCCGGAAAAAAATGCTTTCTAAGTTTATATTTTAAAAAAAGAAAGCAAAAAAAAAAAAAAAAAAATCTGCTTTGTGCGAAAAGCCGAGACAAAAAAATCATAAGGTGCTGAAAAAAAGGAAGAAGGAAGAAAAGTAGAATGACTGATTACCTTCCAATAATGGAGGCAAAGATCGCGAACGATCTTTCTCATACACTGAAATGTGAATTGGAGCAACGAAACAAATAATAACTGAAAGTATCTCAAAGTATTCTGTATTTGAAACAACACATGCTAGTTAAAACAATGCGACACATATTATAGTATAAATATTATTACAAGTGGTAAACTGAAAATCAAAAAAGGTGGCTGACACAACAAAATAATTACAATTAATTGCATTATTAAATAGTATTAGTAGGGTTTTAAAAAAAACGTTTTTAATTACGAAACGAATGAAAGTAAAAGTATAAGAAAATATTGACAAATTTGCATGCCATAATTTAATATGAAGATAATGAAATAACTTTAATGTAAAAAGGTAATTAATCGTTAGTGATGGAAAATGTGAAAAAAAAAATATTAATTGTGGAAGGTTAAAGAGAATAAAATCAAAAAAAAAAAAAAAAAAAAAAAAATAATAAAACATCATAAAAAATACCTTCGGTATAACATAAACCAAATATTTGACGAAGTATGTCGTAGCATCCATGACTCAACACACTGGCAACTATGAACCTATTTTAACAACAGTGATAAGACGGCAAATGCAATTTTACGGGCAAGTAACAATCTCTTTCGGTCTCTCCTAGCCTATGAGGACTTTAACACCCTCCGGACTGAATTGCCAACACAGTTTTACGTAAACTACCAGGGGATTGAACTGCCGTCACAGTTTTATCTTTAACCCCCTCGTTATGGCCCACAAGGGGTATTTATTCTCCCAGCCGACCCGTGTAGGCCTTCTGCTGAGAAACCACCGACCCGGCTGCTTCGAGATACCAGCTAAGTGATTTTGTGTATCTGTGTAGTATTGTTTTATTTGTATGTGCTGATAAAGGCTCCAAAGCCGCAACGTTCACGTTTTGTTTGTATTTGTTATATTGTGAAGCGCAATATACTTTACCTTCTGTTTTATATTTTTTCTCCTAGCCTATACACTACAAAGTACAGGAGTAGAGTGGGAGAGGAGAAGAGGCAGACCAAGAAAGACTCGATGCCAGACTTGGTTGAATGAAGAGGCTTCAGACATGCACAAATCAAATCCATTGGATCTGACTGATGGAATTGCACTGAACTAATCAAACAGTCAAAAGCAACTGATGATCCAACGATTCGCAAAGTTTTGGGATTAAGATAAAAATTATTAAAAATACAAATTCAAACATAACGATTAAACGAAACAATGTCTTTTTTTTCTACGCTGGAGTTAGTTTAGGGCGATGACTAGCACATTCGCCTGATGACCTGGTGGTTTTAAATTCGAACCTTCATCAAGACGTAGTTTTAGAATTGACCTGAAGTTTTAGTTGGCCTTATTTTGCTGGGAAATAATCGCAGCAGACATCACCGGAAGAATTTGGCAAGTCTTTAAAAGTGTGAGGACGGCACCAGACAATCCAAGCGCTTACCGGGGATTGAACCCGGAACTTCTAGCACTCAAGGCGGATTTACAATCAGACAGTTACTGGTGCCATCGAAAACAGAACTCTTCGCTTGCTGCTGAAGACAGGGACGCAGCGCGTATAGGAGTGTCCCAAAAGCTTTAATGTCGATTCCTTATTCAACAGTCAACAACATTAAGGATAGAAGAATCATTACATGTGTGAAGAAGAGGTTCTGATGGGGCTGATTGAAAGCTAAGCTCTTTTCATTTGGGAGACCTAATTTCAAGTCCTTAGTAAGTGTGACGTGCGACCATTGATTGTGACGAGCGTAAAACTTGACCTACAGTGTGACGTGCTGTAAAGGCTGCGTGGTGATGTGCAGCGTACCAAAGTGACTAGGGGGTGTCGCAATGTAACAAATGGCATCAACACTTAACATGCCACTGGCCAAGAGTAACACAACATGATGAATGCTGAAGCTTCCAAACATAGCGAAACAAGAACTCTCTTTAAAAGTTCCATTTGTGTATTGACAATAACGATGATCAACACAAGGAGAAAATGTGCAATTACTAATCAAGATTCATTCAAGCATATCAACAAAAGCCCGCTCATACATCCATGGACTGATATGTCCTCGCGATAGGTCGCAGTCCGACCTTGAGATCCAGACAGTAATTTGAATTAAGTAGTGAAGGTATACCGGCTTACTGCCGAACTGTGTCGATCTACAAGCTTTCTGCTGAGGTCTATATTGGATTCCCGGGGTAAAACGTCCTCAAGGATCCAACTGTATACAACGTTTGCTTCCGTAGGATCCCAGGGTAAAGCGTCCTCAGGGATCCACACGTCCGTCTCCTTCGGACTGTAAACATCAACTGCCTTTGACAACAATACCTTCACAACGTTACGTATTGTTTTGACGTCTTATTTGCTTACTCAGTACCGGTGCGTTCTAGTGCACATTCGCACGCGACAATAAGGTTGACAAAGTATTCCTGCCAGAGGCTCTAACAAATCATAACTTTAACAGCTGCACTAGCCATGCGGTTCTAAAAGTACGAACTCCGTAGATCCAGCAGCCATCCTTACCACATCCAGGGATCTCCCAAAAATGTCTTTGTGATCCAAACGGTACAGCTCAGAAACGAACCACCAGTCTTAACAGCAGAAGACGTATCATTTTCTGTTTCCTAATGTAGCAAGGTTGATGACGAGCTAATAATTTTGGTTTGGCTGCATTCGCGGACTGAAACTCTGACAAGCTCAGAGATTGAGGGTTTAAAAAAGAGCTTGTCCAGCGCGAGAAGGCTCTCTCTGTGTGTCCCGTTCAAGTGTTCTGGTCAGTTGTTCTGTCCGTTTGTGACTGCATGTGGTCTTAACGCAGCACAGGTGCGGCAGACTGAGCCAAAATAGATGGAGTGGCTCACTTTACAGTTTCGGTACGTTTCGATAGTTAGACGGTGGTAGATCTAATTTTCCTTCAGAGAAACTGTGTTAGATCTAGGTATCAGTTTGTATCATCGCTTGCAGATATTTCATTTCTGGTCGCGAACTTTCACCTTTGTCAGCTGGAGTACTTAGCACATTGTCTGGATGAACATGATATTAGTTGTGCGTATCTGTGAAGCACGTTCGTTTTGTGTTCAGGAAGAAAAACATAGATGTTCAGTGTGATTATTATAGTTACAGTTGTTTTGATTCGGAATAGGACTTGTAGTTAGTGTGCCTAATTTGACTGTTACTGTTAAAATTCATATAGAACCTATTTTGTCAGGGCTAAGGCACTATGGACCTTAGTACCCAGTTAACAAGCTCTTTTTTTTTCTCCCATTCCTGTAGCAGCTTGGGTGTAGATTGCGGATTCCACTCACTAAGATAATCTTTGTTGGAGCTCTTGTGTGCTGGGAGTAGAGATAGGTTCAAGGAGTAGTTATATAATCCTCCATACTGTCTTCGCTTCCTTTCAGGCAAGATCCTCTTAGGCTTTGCTTTTAGTACATTAGCGTGCACCGGCTGTAAACTCCGGAGGAAAGCTCCGGCTATCGTCCACTTCTGGACCGTACTCTTTTTTCAAAAACCTGAGTTAAGTGTAAGTAAAGTAAAAAAGTAAAGTTCCCTTTTCACGCCTTTCGGCGCATTGGGCATATGGGCAGAGCGTCCCATATTTTTACAGACCATCAGCACTCTGTGGGTAATGTGGTCAGCATTACGCCGGCTGTCTTTACTTTCCCAGGACAGCCCATCCTGGTACCCATTTTAGGCTGGGTCGACCTGCGACGTCCCATACCACGAAAAAAATCCACGCAGCCTGCAGTGGGTTTCGATCGCGGTATGCTGGCTTACGAGTCGGACTCGCAACGCCTTAGCCACGGACGCCGCTTGAGTTAAGTGTACACACCCGTTTTACTGATCTGGCTTATTTGTTTGCAGATAGTTTTTTTTTTTATCTCTAGAAGGATGCATTCCGACTTGGAAAAAACCCCCTAATAAGTAGCCTTTTACGACACACTTTTTAGACAGGAGTGTGTCTTTTGCCCCCCCCCCTCCCCAAAATGAGGCCCCAGAACCTAAACGGGTAGCGCAACTGTTTGATTCTCATCCATAAGATGTTTACCATAAATAATGCAATCCTGAAAAAGGGAGATGGTAACCAAACAAACAAAAACAAAAAAGTGGTAGGGGAGGGGGGGGGGATAAACTTCTTACAACTACCCTCTCCCCCACCCTCACCTCCAGCAATTTAAAAATCGTGAGCAAGGTTGGAAAGGCAATGTTAGTAAGAAACTAGTTATAGCGCGGTCGTAAATTCAAACCAGCTAAACGCTCACAAAAATCGATTGCCTAAAACAAGAGCTCATTCAATGTTATCACATTGAACACAATCCAAAATCAAATGAGATCGAGACCAGAAAACGTCACCACAAACATAGCTGAAAGGAAAGTGAGCAGAAATGTGAGCGGACCTAGCTGAAAGTGGTCAACGAAAGAGAATTTGAATTTGAATGTTATCACCGGGTAGGAGTCTAGCTCAAGTTGGAAGTTACGTTTTTCAAACAACTGGTACAACAGACATTTCACAATATCTACCGACTGATAAAAAATTGCTTTGACTGCCAAGTCCACTCAGGCATGAGTGGGTACTAGGTACAGTCCTGGGAAGTAAAGGCGGCCAGCAGGATGGTGATTACATCACCTACCAAGTGCCTAATGGTCTATACAACTACAGGTTCAGCCCTATATGCCCAATACACATAAAAGCGTGGAAAAAGGGTCATTTTCTTATTGAGCGATCGGTTTGTCCCCTCGGGAATGCTATTTGAAGGTTACCGTGCGCCCCCCCCCCCCCCCCCCCCCCGCCGCCGCCACCCTCCCCCTAAGGACAGAAAACCCGTGCGAATAAAATAGTTTAACGTGCTGGAGATTTTAATAAAGATTAAATAGGAAGTTTGAATTTTGAATAACGGACCAACATCATGGTACACAAGTAGTAACCCATAAGTGCTCCGTTCTTCTTCAAACTCAAGTCTGAGTCCGAAGAAGCTCAGTAAAGTACACAGACTCCGCAGCACCTGCGAGGATCCTGAGATACTTTGGGTTGATTTTTAACTCCAAATTTTGCCCGGGCAGAGCCGTTAGGCCAATCTTTTCGATTTCCAACTGCCGAGGGATTTTATTTTTACGTGCGCAACAATGCACACGGGCGTCTGATCTCACTACCCAAACATAATAGACATGTCTGAATAACTTCTAATATCTACAGATATCAGACAAAGAAGATGGCGATATATTGTACACATCGCAAGGAGAAGAGAAAATAAAACAATCAAACTTGCACTTGTGCAGCAAACACATGAAGTGAGGAGGCGCGGACGTGCAAAAGAAAAGGAAAGACGAACGGTAATGAGAGAGACCAAAGCTGCTTGGCTGGAATCTATAGATATACTATGAAAAAAGAAAAATATGCTCATAACAGAACGAAATGGAAAAACAAAATGTGAGCCCTATCTGACCTAAAACAGAAGATGATGGTTTTGGTGGTGACGATGGCGATGATGATGATGATGACTTAGTAATTACCGTGTTTTTTACTCGAATCAGCACACCCATACATAAAAAACATATCCTAACACACACATATATATGTGTAACAAGCGATCACAATAATCCAATCTGAGCCAGATGTATAATATTGCAACCTCTTGCCAGTATTGACTGTGACCTTGTGCACGCCTTGTCCCTTGTACCGCGCAGATATCACACCGTATGCCCTCCGTCTGTCGCTAAGTACTCGTATAATTGTGGTATCCGGTCTGCTATTTATTGTTACCTTGCTTTCCTAACATTAGGCGCAGTCAAGGCACAAGAACATGACATGAAGTGGTTTGCACACCCAACAAGAATGCCCTGCTACTATATGCCAGTGCGAGCTACACTCAAATGTTACAACAGGTGTAGAGCGGGTGGAAGACCTCGGGAAAATATGGAGTGATGGCATTAGGTACACCCTTACAGAAATGACCATCATGCTTGATAGTGCTTTTGACAAATCTCATTAACGAACGTTACTACATCCCCCGACACTTCGCTGAGGTACAAAGTGGAAAAGAAGAAGAAGAAGAAAAAGAAGAAGAAGAAGAAGAAGAAGAAGAAGAAGAAGAAGAAGAAGAAGAAGAAGAAGAAGAAGAAGAAGAAGAAGAAGAAGAAGAAGAAGAAGAAGAAGAAGAAGGGCCCATGATGCCAAATTAGTACTTTTATATATACAGCCCAGGGCCTTGGTGTGCTTTGATATACACAGGCAGCCGAACCAGGCGGCATCGTACAAAAAAGGGGGAGGGGACCGCATAAGTAAGTCAGTCAGTCTTTCCTCTTGAGCCTAGGGCGGCGCACAGGGCAAAGGTCATAGCTCTTTATATGTGGCGGTTCGTTGCCACCTGTTGTATGTCTTAAATGTTTTTTAGACCCATGATTAGGCCTTCCCTGATGATGGTTCTACAAAGGGTCTCTGCTGGTCTTTGCTGTGTTTTTTTTCTCCTTCCAGTGTCCATATGAGGGCTTGGTGGGGGAGCCGTGTCTTATTCATTCTGAGCGCATGGCCAATGTAGCGAAATCAAAACACAATTTGAACTTTTGATATGACAGCGCGAAGTAATTAGGGACGGCATTTCAGAGACTTGCATTATATTGAGAAAATCAGCTGCAAGGGACCGGTCCAGTCCAGGAAGTGTGGTTATCTATACAGATGGCTCTGTGGTCACAGTCAGAAGAAGTGAGTGGGTGTTCATTGCGAAAGCAAATGGGCGACGATGAGTGTAGCAAAGTCTAGGTTATGATACTAGAACATCTAGTTTAAGAATGGAGATGGAGACAGTCACTGCAACTTTCCGCTACAGTTCGTTCAATATTAAATAAACATACATGCAAGCCATTTTCTCGAAAACTGCCTGTTATATCGCAATGATTTATTGCAAACCAGCTGCCCACACTTGCCGTGATTGTAACCGACGGGTAAAGCATGTTAAGAAAGGTGGGGACAGACGTGCTCCGTGGAGAGTGAAAAGCGTTGCTTTAAAGGTCCTGGGTAGTTAGCGCTCTTTAGAAATTGTCTCTAGGTTAGTCGTGCGGGAGTGATAAGATATTAACAGGCAGACAGATTGGCTGGTCCTACACCAACTTGTGGTGAATTTCTACATAACAAGTTAGACTTGTCAAAGCTCTTCGAGGGCAAGTGAACAATGGAGGAACGAATAGATCATCATGGTCCGGAGAAAATGGCACCGCTACGAGTGACCAGCGGATCTGGTTGACTCTCTACACTCAGAGGAGAGGCAAGACAGACATACAATTAAAGTGCTACTGGGACTGCACCTCTTTTCTGCACCCCTTTTCTAGCTGCTGAAGATTAGGATGGAGCGCTTATGGGAATGTCCCCAGTGATGTGATGTTAGTTCTTAGTTCAACTCTCGTATCTTCATGGATCCGTTGGAACTTGGTGTGTGACTCAGTCAACATCACACCGGTCGGCTCCCCATTCCAAGACTTCATTGGTTCTCATTTTAGGTTGGTTCCACCTGGGAGTCAAGGTCAATTTTTAAGACAAAAGTTTGTTGCGTCAATACGGATTCGAACACAAGGACTACGAACAGGAAGATGGCCGTCAAGTTACTACACTCCTTTGGCTGTCTTTCCTGACAGTGGCATTTCATATTTACAACGGAATGCCGTTATATCGGTTCAGGAGCTCTGGGCACGCTTCGAAATTCCGAGGTAAAAGCTATGGCAAACTTCTGAAAGTAATTTGCCTAGTGGAACCACAATAAAGTCACATACAACATGCTGCTTTTGGTTCTGCAACGTAGAAAGGACTGCCGTTTATCTCTCCTAAGAGAGATCAGCTACAGACAGATTCCTTTGGAGAAATACAGTGAAAGGCAGACTGTCACAGTCTACAAAAGGCCAAACCCAGCAATCTATAGAAAGGTGACTTCTGAGATCAAACCAGCCTCAGAACTATATCAACGTTTTATGTTGACTATGTGGAAGAATATCTTGCACAAAGAAGAGGAGAAATACTGACATCTTGAAAGATCTGAACATCAAGGAAGATTGGCTAATAAACAGCATCCTGTCTCAGAAGCTGAAATATTTTGGTCATATCAAGCGCCACGACGGATTGGAAAAAATCATAGCAGAAGGCATGGTACCAGGAAGGAGGGGCAGGGCCCGACCAACACGAAGATGGGCACAGGATATAAGTGACTCCTTGAGTATGAAAGTACATGAGGTGGGAGAACTAGCAAGAGACCGAGTTTCTTTCAGGCAGACTGTGATGAGAGCGACATTCTGCAAAGGACCTGCGACATGATGATGATGATGTGGTAGAGACTGCCATTCTCGCATTGAAGTTTACAATCACAGCAGACGTTGTTCCCAAAACTGGGGACACAACTCCACAGTCGCCATGGACTGGAGGTTGACTAAAGTGCCATTTATATGTCATAAATGGCTGGCACCCGATCCCTCCACTCCGTTCTTTTCTGTGCCAGACATTCTCCTTTCCTAAATCCAGTTGTTTCCTATTGCAGTGGCCGCTTCGTGATTCTTCGTCTCAGTATGAACCAGTTTTCACAAATCTTCTTCCTTGAAAAATCGAAACCAGCTGTTGTCCCAGTACTGATACTGTTTTTCCCCCCGTTAGCTCACTTCTCAATGTATTGATGGGTCACTGGAGAAGTATATTTTGCCTAGCTATAGCGACGCACAAAGCTCGAGATTCACAGATCCAACGATGATCCTAGGGATCTCTAACAAAATTGCATTCCTTTTTTTTTTAAGCTCGTTAAACCACAGGGAGAGGGAAAATAATGAAATACACAGCCGTAATTAGTTAACCAATCACCTAATTAATTAATCAAACTTGAGTTACATAAGGGAAAAGTTGTAAAAGTTAATTAAACAAGCAGTAGGTTTCTGAAGGGTTTTAATAACCTAACCAAGTGATTTTGATGTCACACCAGGTAATCTAACTACAATTATCTCCATTTGAAAATTATCCAACGTTAAAACAAACAAAAAAACAAAAAAAAAAAATAATAAAAAAAACACTATAAGCGCTAAATTATTGCAAATAAAAATTAACGTTATTTAAAAAAAAAAATTATCAGCGTTATATTATGATAAAGTATTAATTTCAAGAAAATATTTGCTAACTAACTTTTTTAGTAATATGTTAATTACAATAGAAAAAAATTAACAGAAGACTCAACCATATTAACAGAAGGTTAATTCAAATTCCAGAATGAATCCAGCCAGACCGAGTTAATTTGTTTCCAAAACAAATTGCCCTAAAAGGGAAGTAATTCAACCCACGTTTAGCTGAAGGGTGAGCCGTGTCGATTGTCTCCCCCATTCTCCGCAGTTGCTCCCGTCTCCAAACTGGACTCAGACCAAGAAATCCGACTGTGGGTCCAGCTGGACCTGGCTCCTTGGCTAATGTGAAGCGTTGTAATTGGATTAAGCGCAAGCGTTATTATAATTGGTTTAACTCATTCGCTACGCTACACTAGGGTTCTCAGGGTGTGTACTGCTGACAACATCAACGCGGTCGGCCAAATCAAGGGGATATCAAACATGAATTTTTTTAAACATCTTTAATCTAGTCATTCCCCTGTGGGATGCAATTTTTCCTTCTTAATTTGAAGCCCCACTCTGGCTCTTGCCAGGGGCCGCCATAAAGCCCAGCCATAAATATGGCCCAATTGCTGAACGCGGCTTCCGGGGACCTCTCCACGGGTGATCTTCATCCACATGGTGGCACTTTTTGTCGTCAGGTGATTATCGCCTGTGTGATGTCCTGGTGGGGTATAATGTACTACTACTATTATTTAACAGATTTTAAACTACATAAATCATTTTTAACAAAATATTCTAAGTATAAATAAATTGTACTTTTTTGTCTTTACACTATCACTACTACAACCGCTGCTGCTGCTGTTACTACTGCTGCTGCTGCTAATGCTGCTGCTGCTATTACTACTACTACTACTACTACTACTACTACTACTACTACTACTACTACTACTACTACTACTACTACTACTACTACTACTACTACTACTATTACTACTACTACTACTACTATTACTACAACAAACAAAAAAGCTACAACTACTTAAAGTACTGCTACTGCTACTATTACTACTACTGTGATAATTACCATAACCACCACCGCCACCACAAAAACAGCAGCAGCAACAACAACAACAACTACTACTTCTAGTACTACTACTACTACTATTGCTACTATTAATAACATAATTCCTATCACTGCCACAACTGCCACAACTAACATTACTGCTACAATTACTACCACCACCAACACCCTTTAATGCTACAGCTAATACAAAAACAACGACTGCTAATCACAGTGTAATTCTCTCGACAACCATTTAATAGTTCGACACCTCCATGATTTTCGATGCGAAGTTTATTTTATTTTTATAATTTTTTACAATGTTCTGTTTATTCTCCCCCAGAAATTACTAATTAATTTCTCTAAAATCCCACTCCAGTAGCGAATGAGTTAAACTGTACATGTTAAATAACATTTCCTGTTTAATAACGCGTTACATCCTTCACAATAATCTTGTGTATTATATTAAACCAACTGATAATTATAAAGTTAAATAAATGACAGAAAGAAGAAAATTGTTTAACGCATGATAAATCACCTGACAGCCAAGAACATTTCATGTTTTTTTTTTTTATTACAACTATGCGTGTTAATAAAGATTTACAATTATCTGAAAGTACGACATGTAATTTTATTCTCACCTTAATGACACGTTTTAAAAAACATAGAAAGAAGGAAGAAAGTGTAATCAACTAGTTCATGAAAAAGAGTGGGTTAAAGGCTATCATTTTGTTTTGTTTACAAAATAATCCTGGTAAATATAGAATCAAATGATATGCTGTTAAAACATAACTTATTTGTTGAACTTCGATATAAATATTTAGTATTAGGTAAGTATCTGAGAACCAGTTTCGGCGTCCGTGGCTAAGGCGTTGCGAGTCCGACTCGTGAGCCAGCATACCGCGATCGAAACCCACTGCAGGCTGCGTGGATTTTTGTCGTGGTATGGGACGTCGCAAGTCGACCCAGCCTAAAATGGGTACCAGGATGGGCTGTCCTGGGAAAGTAAAGACAGCCGGCGTAATGCTGACCACATTACCCACAGAGTGCTGATGGTCTGTAAAAATATCGGACGCTCTGCCCATATGCCCGATGCGCCGAAAGGCGTGAAAAGGGATCTTTACTTTACTTTTTAAGTATCTGAGAACCAGTCGGCTCTGTGGTTAAGTCGATGCGAACGCTTCGTAATGCCGGGATGCCGAGTTCGATCACAGCTGCGGGCCATGCGCCTTGCGTTGGTTTCGACAGTGGTATCAATAAAGCCGACCGTCCGGAAAGCAATGGCAAACTACTGGACGTCAATTGCCTAGAAAACCCACACAACAGCCAGGGGCTGTTGGGGTTGGTTCTGCAACGTCCTGTAAAGGATACGCAACTAACCTCTGAGAACCATGTATCACTTTAATTCTGACAAGGACTTTGTAACATCCAAGTATAACATTTGACAGTACATCCAAGTATAACATTTGACAGTACATCCAAGTATAACATTTGACAGTACATCCAAGTATAACATTTGACAGTACATCCAAGTATAACATTTGACAGCCAATAGAAAAGTACATCATAAAAAGCAGTGTTCTCACTTAATAAATAATGTGTGCAGTTAGTAATATATATATATATAATAAGCTAGCGTACATTAGTTTCCTAAATATTTATAAATTAATTGTCAATGTTCGGCGTTTGTTGCTTAGGCGTTGCGAACGCGCTTCGTAATCCCGGGATGCCAGGTTCGATCTCAGCTGCAGGCCCTGCGCCTTGCGTTGGTTTCGACAGTGGTATCGAGAAGCCGACCGTCCAGAGGCAATGGCAATGGCAAACTACTAGACGTAAATTTGCCTAGAAAAAACTACAACGGCCACATTAATTTAAAAAAAAATGATGGGATTGATTCTGCAATGTCCCGTAAAGGATACGCAACTAACGTTTAGTTGACAATGACTTCATCAGTTTTACAGCAGCGCCATTTAACTGGTAGCCTGGAGAACTCTTGCATGTGGCTCACAGATCAATGACATTTGTATTGTAATAATGATCCTTCCACGCCGGGATCGGACCCCTCGGCCATGACGATTCCCATTTTCAACATGTTGACCCCTTTGTCAACCTAATTCAACAACCCTGCATGGGGTTTTTCATCTGACATATACAGTTCATGATTTAGCGGATAGGCGCCCGACTCAAGCCCGAAGGTGATAGGTTCAAATCCGCATCCAGCCGTTTTTTTTTTTCTTTCTTTTTTTTTCTTAAATGAGCTTGGCTCCCAGGTTGACGCAGCCAACTTGAAATTGTGTAGCAACATTTCTCTCACTGGTCTGCATTCATCCTTAAAAGGGACGTTGACACGCTGGGTTGTGGTTTACAGCAAGGCTGCAACATCTGCATCTTTGACCTAACATCCGATTTCAGTAAACCCCACGACTTGTACGACATGCTTGCTAGCCTGCAGTGGGTCTATGCTTTTTTCCACCCCAAAAGTGGACCCCAGAATCCCCACGGGGAGCAGCGAATATAATTTCAGTTTAGCCACAACTAGAAAATATTTAGAGCCACTTATCAAGTAGGGAGCCCTCTTGGTGTTGTGGCTAGATGCTCGTCTTTGGATCCGAAGATAGTGGGTTCAGCTCCTGACGGATTAGGACTTTTCTTTTTCTCTTCCAGAAATTACCTCGGCTCATAAGTCAACATATCTTAAAGGGAAGCAGGCAAAGTCCTGGGAAGTAAAGGCGTCCAGTATGATATTGATCACATCACCCACCGTGTTCCGTTTGCTCTATAAAATATAAGTCTAGCCCAGTACGCTATCCAGTACTGTGGTCTGCTTATGTCCACTCGTCGGCGTTGCCATCTGAAATTTTGACCACCCGCGCCACTCGAAGACGAGCATCCCGGATGCAAACCAACAGGACAAATCCTAGCTACCCAGTTCAGTCTCGAATGAAATTAAAAGTGTGAGGTTCGTAAAGCCACACTTAGTACCACCCCGAAGTACCCAGCAAGCATGTGCGAGTAAGCCTTGATACCGTTAACTACTTTACACATATAAAATAATATAGCCAAACATGCTTTAGATTTAGGGTGACCATAATATCCTGAGCTAAAAACGGGACATCTCACTAATATTTTAGGTTGAAAAGGGGACATCCCCTAATATTTTGGGTTGAAAACGGGAAATCCCGCTAATATTGTGTGTTGAAAACGGGATATCTCCCTAATATTTTGGGTTGACCCATTAATATTTTGTGTTGAAAACGGGACATCCCACTAACATTTTGGGTTTAAAACGGGACATTTAATTTTTTGGGTTGAAAACGGGACTTCCAAATAATACTTTAGACTGAAAATGGGACATCCCAACAATTCAGTCCCCACCTTCCCTTTAAAAAAAATAATAATTATTCAACAAGTTGTTATTATTATTATTATTATTACAAAGTATCTGAAACTATGTTATTTAGCAGGTCCATGGATATTCCTGTAAGTGTATGTTCTATTCATGACTTTATTCCTAGAATGTTTTTAAATGGAACAAATTAGCAGACCCACGGGACGGAAGGTGGCACACATTAAAAACTGGACTAACCTGGTGAAAACGGGACTTTTGGTCATCCTAAGCATGTTTAACATCACATCTTAAGTAATGTAGTCACAAGTGTGACACATTTAGCAGACATTTCAAGTAACGCATCCACACCTGGAACATATTTAGCAGACACCTAAAGCACTGTAGCCACAAATAGAGCTTTTTCTAGCAGAATTCTAAAGTATTGCATCCACAACTGGAAAATGGTTAGCAGATTTCTAAAGTCGGGCAACAACATGAAGAGAAAGAGCCAAAGAAGCAAAGACCAAGACGGCACAGCTGGAGAACTTCTTACCTTGTAGAGACTGGGTGGCTTCCAGTGGTCGATGTTTTCGCTGTGGCGGTTCTGGAACTGGGGGGACAAAGCTCAATTCCCTGGTTGTTATCACTAGCTCAGAAGCGCTCTGGTGAATACAGTTGTTGACAATTTATTACACGGTAAAAGGGAGATTGTAGAGTGGAGTTAAAATGATGGGGGAGGACATGGGGAGAGGGCTGCATGCAATAGGGAGGGATAGAGTGACTTGGCGTGAGTTGGTTGAGGGGCTATGCTCCATCGGGGGATAGAATGCAGAAGAACAAAACATTTAATAAGTCCATATAAACTGCAAGCAGGAGCGCCGACAAATTA